ATTGGATTTAAGTTGCTATACTGCCCATGAAGCTATAAAACACCAAAGCAAGTCAACGTATCTCACTCAATCTCCTCTTCCTCCAGACATCGGGATTTCTAGACTCATTAAGGAGACAAGATAATGTATATTTAGAGCTCAGTGCAAGAGGTAAACAAAGAGGCTGCTCACCAATTAGCATTTAAACAAGACCACTGTAACGGGGTGAATGCTTTGGGCACAGAGGGCAATAACGCTAACCCTCCCTCCCCCTCCCACCCATAAGATACAAAGGATGCTGTACTCAGGCTGGCCGTGAGGGGGTGGGCACCAGTCACCATATATTCACGTTTGCCCGAGAGACAGCTCAGGCCTTGGGACCTGCAGAAAGTCCTCTCTACCCTTCCTTCTCCGTGCCTGTAAAGTTCACAGCTGTACGCACACCCAGACTTGCAGGTGGTGTTCTAAGTGTCCTTTCCTGTCTGTCTCCCCTCCCCATAGTCTGGGAGACCCCTTGATAAGGGATGGGCTCACATGCCAGTCTTCATGCTGACTTCCCAACCAAGGCACGTTGGGTGGAGTGAATAGATGAATGCATGCCTGTGTGCGTGCCTAAGCGACCGTTCACAGCTGGTCACTGGGTTGGGGAGGTGTGCGTCTGTGCGATCTAAGTGCCTTAGGATCCTTCACATCCCACAGGGCTAACAGCTGGGTTCCTTCAGGGTTGAAGGGTGGTGTGCATGGAAGGGAATGTTCTAGGGCCAGCCTACATTACAGCGGCCCAAAGGGGACCTCTGTCCTCGTGTGTAATGACAGTGCGTACACGTGTCTGCGCAAGGGCTGGGTGGTGGGCACTGAAGTGCCGCCGTGCTACTTCTTCTTTGGAAATAGACAGCTCTCAGTCAGGTATTGGTGACTTACGCCTTGAACCGGTGCTAAGCAGGCAGAAAAGTCTGTGAGACTCTTATCTCCAATGAACCATCAAAAACCAAAAAAAAAAAGGGGGGGAGGAGATGTGGTTCACGTAGTAGAACACCAGCTCTGAGTGAAAAAGCCAAAGGACTGCACAAGTCCCTGCGTTCAAGCCCCAGTACCAGCGATGTGTTATCATGAGAAATCATTCCTATTGCCCAACGGGGGCGAGCACCTGAGCTGAGTGGCAAAGACACGGGTGAGGATGCGTGCTGTCCTGCAAGCTGCAGCTCCCCAGACGAGAGCTCTAGACAACACCCCAGGTCTCCATGGAGGCTCCTGAGCACGCTCCAGAAACCACGCCCCCTACGGCTCAGCCGTCCACGACACCACGGCCAGCCTCACCTTCCCTTCTCTGCCATCAGCATTTCTCATCAACCACGTGTGTGCCAATGGGCAAGACACTATTAAAGATTAGTATTTAAAAAGAAGGCAGTTCCAACGGCATCAAAAACTATGGAAAAACATGACCACAGACAAGCGAAACCCGTACTGAGCAACTGTAAAACATCACTGAAACTAAAGGCAGAACCAAATGGAAATCCTGGCTCCATGGATGGGAATATTCAGATCTCAATTCCTCCTTTAGCCACCAAATACACCCCTGATCAAAACATCCACCCCTTATTTGCACAAATAAACAAGCTGACTAACGAAAGACTACAGAACAGTAAAACTCTGAAGAACAAAACTGAGAACTCACACTGCCCCTAGGCTTGCTATAAAGTTACTGAGCACAACGGGGTGTGAGCCTAAGGACAGACACACAAGATAAATGGACCGGGATAGAATCTAGAAATAGATCAACGTGCAACCAACTGTTGACAACAGAAGTAACAAGATAATTAGATTAGATAATTAGGTTAGATAATTAGATTAACAAGATAATTAGAGAAAAAAGTATCTTGCAAATTATATGTAGCAATTACACACTCATATGCAAAATGAATGCAATCTAGTAATTCAGAAAACATTTTTTTTAATTCACAAAATGGACTGGTAGTCCTAAGTGTAAAACCTAAAGCTTCTAGAAAAAAGTAGAGGAAAAACTGTTTGAATTTTAGTTTATGTGGGTGCCAATGGGGCTTGAACTCAGGGTCTAGGCACTGTCCCTGAGCTTTTTCATTCAAGGCTGGTACTAAACCACTCAAGGCATAGCTCCATTTCTAGCTCTTTGGTGGTCAATTGGAAATAAGAGTCTCACGGAGGTTCCTACCCTGGCTGGCTCTTCAAATCTTGATCTTTGGCTCTCAGCCTCCTGAGTAGCTAGGATTACAGAAACCCCACAGATTTTTTATTTTTTATTTTTATTAGATAGAACTCAAACCATAACAGAACAGAACTGAAATATTTTTAAACTTCTGTTCTAAGTTTCTTTTAAGAAAAATATGCAAAATTAAAAAAAAAAAAACTTATCATCCAATAGTCCCATGACTGTGTGGACGTCTAAAGAAAGAACTGGAAATCCATACATCAGAGAGACACCTGCTCACCCACGTTCTCTGTCACAATCCCCAAGAGCTGAGATATGCAACCATGTGTCTATCAGCAACGAAGAGGGAGAGAAAGACAATGCAGTATGCACACACAGTAGAATATTACTCAGCCTCTAAAAATAGGAAATCTTGTCATCTGTCACAGGATTGGACCTTAGGGAATCCTTGGCTAAGGGAAATAAGCCACAGATAGAAAGATAATGCCTGCATGGCCAGGCGCCAGTGTCTCACACCCGTCATCCTAGCTACTCAGGAGGCTGAGGTCTGAGGATCGCAGTTCAAAGCCAGCCCAGGCAGGAAAGGCCACGAGACTCTTATCCCCAATGAACCACCAGAAAACGGGAAATGGCACTGTGGCTCAAGTGGTAGAGCGCTCACCTCGATCTGAAGAGCTGAGGGACAGCGCCCAGGCCCAGAGTTCAAGCCCCATGACTGACAAAAAAAGAAAAGAAAAGAAAAAGATAATGCCTGCATGATCTCACACATGAGCAGAGCCTAAAACAACTGAACTCATAGAAGCAGAATAGAATTGCAGTTGCCAGGGGCTGAGGGGAGGGCAGAGAGCCAGGAGACGTTGATCCAAGCATGTGCAATTTCAGTGAGAAAGAAGGAATAGGGGCTGGGGAGGGGGCTCAGTGGTAGAGCGCTTGCCTTGCATGCCTGAGGCTCTGGGTTCCATTCCCCAGAACCACATAAGCAAAAAGGAAAAAAGCCGGAGTGGCGCTGTGGTAGAGCGCTCGCCTTGAGCTGAAGAGCTGAGGGACAGCGCCCAGGCCCAGAGTTCAGGCCCCACTACTGGACCCCCCCCCCAAAAAAAAAGAAGGAATAGAGGTCAGCAGCTCTGTCCCATCGCGCATGGTGCCTACCATAGGTAAGAACATGTATCGTATTGTTGGAAGTCATTGAAAGAGTACATTTGTAAATGTTCTCACCACAAGCAAGTATGCGCTACCTGCTAGTCAGCTCAATCTACCATCCCACAGTGTGTCCAGGCTTCCAATCACACCACACGTGGTAAATACATGCAATGTTAATCTTGTTCATTAAAATAATCTTTAAAACACAGAAAAATCTTCTACTCTTCCAAAGATACCACTGAGAAAATGAAAATACAAAACACAGATGAGACAAAATACAAGTTAAGCAACAGACTACGATAAAATACTTGAAACACACACACACACACACACACACACACACACACACACACACAGAGGCCTAATCTCTTTAACGTAGAGAAGATCTACAGTGACAGATAAAACACACACACACAATTAAACAGAAAAATGAGAAAAGAACACAGAGAACCCCCCCTACAGATGCCAATAATCACATAAAGCCAAGATTATTCTCATTCGAGGTTCAGGAAATGCAAACTACAAGATGTTATCGTATGAAAAATATTAAACACAAAAATGTGATGCTACAAAAATATGGAAATGACTCAAAGGCCTATTACTAGAAGACAACAATGCAGACATATGTCAAAATTTCATGTGTCCAATACAACTGTAGCTCCGAACTCACCCATACCAAGAACATTAAAGCAGTGATAGACTGAAGGCATGTTTCAAGTGGCAGAGTACCTGCCTAGAGGAAGAATGAGGCCCTGAGTTCAAAGCCCTATAGCTTCAAAATAGTCTGTCGCTATGGTAGAGAGATTTCAGGTGGTTTTTAATTTCTAAGTTGCCATGTCTTTCTAAATAACATACAACGAGCACTTATTTGTAGAGTTAAAGAAAGCCAAGTTCAGAGAACTGCTGGTCTTGGGCAACAATGTGTTTTTCTATATCTTGTGACACCTTCTTAAAAGAAGGAGGGAGAAGGAGGGAAGCCAGCTGGGGAGGGAGAGGGGGGAAGGAGGGCGAGAAGGATAGGGAGGAGGAAGAGGAGACCACAGCAAGGGTCTAAATAATGTCCTAGTGCTGCCTTCGGCGTGGTTGGTGAGCCCGCTGGCTCCTCCTTCCCCTGCCTTTCCTCAGACACCGTGTGTTAGACTCCTAGACAGACGACCCGATGCCAGGCCACAAAGAGCTTTAAGGACCCCTGAGAATCACATCCCTCATTCTGAGGATAGGGCCAGGCAGGGGAGGGGCCTCCTCAGCAGTGAGCACCAGGCTGAGACTCTCCACTTCCCTCCCCTGCTGCTACCCCCTCCCTTGCTCTGCTTCCCCCTTCCCCCCACCCAGGGCCCTCCCCTCCCAGTCTGTGACTTTTCCACCTCAAAGAATAGCCTAGAACCAGGGTTGTGGTGGTCATCACTCAGTCAAGACAGACATAGGCCATGTCTCTGCTTCCAACAGAAACCGAGAGCAGAGAGAAGAGGCCAGAGTGGCTGGAGGCCGCTCTGGATGAAACTCTGAGGCAAGGAAAGCCCAGCGGAGAGAGGACACGGTCAGATTCGAGACGGATGAGCGGACCCCATCCCTTAAGTCATAAATGCGACAAGGCGCCGGGGCCCGGGCAGCGCAGGGTCAGGGGAGAGACTTGGCGGTAGAAGGGGAAGAGCGGGGACGCAGCCCCAGCCCCTGGCGAGCGCAGGCTGGGACTTACCTTGGGCAGGCTGACGGGAGTCCGGGGCTTGGTCCTGGGGTTCCTAATCAGCAGCCTCTGGTCCAGGGGGAGCAGGTGGTATTTCATGGCCTCGATGAGGAAGTCCTTACAGGTGCTGTTGTTCTTTATCAAAGCTTCTTCCTCCACCGTCTGCAGACAGCCACGGGTGACCGCGGGGCGGGGCTAGGCCCTTTCATCCATCCCCACACGGCCTCACCCCAGACCCAGAGAGCCAGGGCGGCCCAGGGACGACCCGGTCAGCCCTGGATTTCCACAGCCCAGGGGCGAAGGCATTGAGTGCTGACCGACTCAAATACGGGCTTTGCCACTTAAGGCCTCGGTTCCTCAGTTTCCCCATTTATTTGTAAACCGTGCACGCCAGAGACGTGTAACCACCTCACTTGGCGGTGTTGGTATCTGGGGCTTCAATGAGTTCATGGAGAACAAAAGATGGGCAAGTTGTCCTGAAAAGCCTCTTCCCATGTTTCCTCTGCTCTAGCTGTGTTACAATGTGTAGGACAGACAGACAGAGATCAGTGCGGAGGTAAGGGGGGGAGAGAAGGAAGAAGGTGGCGTACTAATGGTCAGCCTTTGAGTGAAATAAGGGGCTGATTTACACCGTGTGTGTGTGTGTGTGTGTGTGTGTGTGTGTGTGTGTGTGTGCGCGCGCGCGCGCGCGCGCGCGCGCAGGAACTACCTCTTAGCTTTTTCCACTGGCTGGCCCTCTACCATCTGAGCCACAGCTCTACCTCTGATGTTTTGCTGGTTTATTAATAAGAGTCTCACGGACTTTCCTGCCCAGGCTGGCTTCGAACCACAATCCTCAGATCTCGGCCTCCTGAGCTAGCTAGGATGACAGGTGTGAGCCACTGGCACTTGGCTCCCGTTTTCTTATAGTCCACGTCTCAAAGAGAAAAACTGCCATGCAGGAAGAATGTCCTGTGCCAAGTCCCACCTGTTGGTGCCACCTTAGGCCCCATCTAAGCTAGGACGTGGGCTCTCCACCTCATACTCCAGGGCTCAGGACTTGGGCAGGACTTCAACAGATGTCAGCCTAAGTATTTTGCAGGCCAGGCTAAAGGGGAAGGCGTTCAAGCTCTGATTCTCAAACCTGCCTCTTCTGTGCAGGCCAGAGGGTCATGAGACGAATCTCAGAAGGGACGATGAGTCTTTGGAAGCTACATGGTGTGGGGATGGACTGCCTCTTAGCTGGACCCCATGAGGAAACTGATGAGCAAGACCAGGTTCCTGAGCGGAGGAGCTCACAGGCAGTCACGGAGCGGGAAGGCTTCCATCTCAATGATACCGGCCCTCCCGCCGACCATGCACAGGGCCTGGGGAGCCTCCCCTGGGCCCTCCACTGTCACGGGGAATGACACTGTGGCCACGGCGTCACTTGCTGGCCAGACACTGGAGTTAGGCAAGACAAGGTATCTGTCACCTCCGGGCACTTCCCCAGAGGCCGGGGCTGGTCTGTTTCCTAAAAAGGTATGTGTGTGTGTATGTGTGTGTATGTGTGCGTGTATGTTTTTTTCTTAAACTTTCTCCACTAGGAAGTGAAACCAGATTGAAATAAATCATAAATGTTTAGGGTTAGAGAAAATGGGAGTGAGAAGCTCTGTCCAGGAAAGAGCAACACTTGGGGAGCTGCTTCTAACGTGTATGGAGACATAATGATGAAACTTTCTCCTGTGTAACTAATATAAGGTTATTTTAAAAAAAAAAAAAACAGCCAGGCTCACACCTATAATCCTAGCTACTCAGGAGGCTGAGATCTGAGGATCGCAGTTCAAAGCCAGGCTGGACAGAAAAGTCCAAGAGACTCTTATCTCCAATGTTCTACTCAGACAACTGGAAGTGGCGCTGTGGCTCAAGTGGTAGAGCGCTCGCCTTGAGCTGAAGAGCTGAGGGACAGCGCCCAGGCCCAGAGTTCAAGCCCCACAACAGACAAGGAAAAAAAAAGACTGTCAGGAATCACATGGGGTCTTCCATGGTCATCAGTAAACAGAGAGATGTCGGATGGACACTCACACCGTCCTCAGACCTTATCGTCTATCTGGGGAGGGACTTCATCTGGGGTTTGGGACGCGTGGCCCCAGAGTATGTTTTGTGGTGAAAGGAGAGCCACGTTGGGGGTGAGGGAGGGGGGAGAGGAAGAAGGGGGGGTTACATGGGAGATAAAGCCAGGCAGTGTCATGCTGGGCTTTCCCCAGCTCTCCTCACCCCTGCTCCTCCATCAGCTAGTTGGACTCGCTTGGAGTTTCAAGGTCACATGAGTAGGAATGAAACATCCTCTCCCGGAGGTGAGGCCTGACTTTTCTTGTTAATACTTTCAATGAGGGGGAGGGACACAATCGTTCTTCACTTCCCGACTTCCTTCCCGGTCAGATCCAACCCCCTTTTTTTTCCATCACATGGTTTCCTAATGAATTTGGTGAGTCTGGGCTATGGACGCCTGTGGGCAGTGAACTGGTGGTGGAGGCCAGAGGCCCACCCCAGCCCCCATCCGCCTTAGCATCCCACGGGGCAGGGGAAGGTTTAAGGGGTGACCCTGGGGGCCTGGGGGTCAGGCCCAGTCCCTCCTTTTTACGGACCTCTCACCTGAAAGGCTATGTGGCCACCAGGTGGTGGCAGTGCGCCTCCCCCCCCCCCACCATCCCCAGCTCCATGGCTAGTCCGGGGTGGAGGGGCACTTGCAAAGGAGATGGAGAACTCATTGCTGATCCCTTGGGGTCCACGTGGCCCATGGCGTCAGGCAGAACACTTTAGGTACGCGGTGTCGCCAGAAGTCACAAAACACTACTGGTAAGATTTTGTGTGGATTGTCTCATTCTGACCCCTACCAGGGTAGAAACTACTGTGGCCAAATGAGAAAAAGGGGGGTCTCAGTGGGCAGGCACGGTAGGGAGGAGCCAGAGCTGGCCCCCTTCCTTCCCTTCCCCGCAGAACCCCAGGGGGACAGTTCTGTGACGGACAAACAGGACAGAAAGCAGCCCCCGTTGTGGCTCACAGAGCTGTGTGCCCCAGGGCCAGGCTGCTGTGGATTTGAACCCTGATCCCCCTGCCTGTGGCCCGAGGAGTCCAGATCAACCCTCAGCTTCACGGCCTGAGGCCCTCGGCTGTAAAAAGGGGAAGCAAGTGTCACCTCGCAGGAGACCACACGAGAAGACTTGGGGCCTCACCAGGCACTCCACAGTTCTCCTTCCTGCCTTGGAAGAGGTAAAAGCACGCATACATGCAACACACATGCGTGTGTATTTATACAGAGATACACCTACATGTAAGTGTATATATGTTATCCAGCATATGCAGTGCTTATATATATGTCTGTCTGTGAGTGAGTGTATCTATGCACAGGGCCTGGGCACTGTCCTTTAGCTGACATTCTACCACTTGAGCCATACCATGCTTCTGGCTTTTTTAGGGGGGATGGGGAGGACTGTTAATTAGGGATAAACATTCCACAGACTTTTCTGGGCTGATTTCAAATCTCAATCCTCGAACCTCAGCTTCCTGAGTAGCTAGGATCCTAGCATGAGCCCCCAACACCCGACCCCTTGTGCTTTGCTTCTCTACTAGAAAACTTGCTCTGCAGGGCTCCCTGTCTGTGCACACAGACCTGGCTGTGCACACGGACACTTCCCTTAGTCCCTGCTGGGGACCTACATAACTGCTGCCTATAGAAGATGACACTTGGGGAGGTGGAATAACTCAAAGCCCTGAGCAGCTGAGCAGAGTCGGAGACCTAGGTGTCCACCCTGGGATCGGTGCTGTGAACGTACCCCTGGCCCAGGCCCCAGGCCCACCCCGCTATCCCTTGAGGTGTAGGGAAACGGGCCGGCGCCTACCTGAACGAGGTAATCTCTAGGCAAGAGAGGGAGTCGGACATGTTCCATGAGCTTGGCCATGTGTTCCAGGCGGGTCTCCTTCTCATAGTTGATCCAAGAAATGACGGCTTCGAACACCTGTAGAGAAGAGACACCAAGGGATGGGCTGGGAAGGTGGCTCCGTGGTAGAGCGCTCGCCTAGCGTGCGTGACGCCCTGGGTTCGATTCCTCAGCACCACGTATACAGAAAGAGCTGGAAGTGGTGCTGTGGCTCAAGTGGTAGAGCGCTCGCCTTGAGCAAAAGAAGTTCAGGGACAACTGCTCAGGCCCTGAGTTCAAGCCCCAGGACTGGCAAAAATAAAATAAAAATAAAACCGAGACAGAAAAGCAGGCCCGGGAGAGAGTGCATACGTGTGCACAAATACAATGACCCACCTGATACATCCCAAATGGAGACTCACGTGGGTCAGTCTACTATTTTTTTTTAAATCAGTTGTGATGGGTATTTACAGGTAGAGATGCAGAGCAGTAACAGTGACCCTCACGTATGGGGAGTGCTCAAGGGGGCCGGAAACCCGGAGGACATGTCATCTTCCCCTCATTCGTATCCTGTGAACAGCTGTTGTAGAAGGAAGCAGGAAGCAAGTTCCCTGCCTGCAGCTGACATCCTGAGGAATGTGACACTGAATGACAAATGGAGGTTGGGGATGGGGGGGGGGGGGGGGAGAGGGAAAAGATTTCATTTCTATACAAATTTAAGCTAGAGGGCTTGGGAGTCGGGCACTGGTAGCTCACATCTGTAATCCACGCTACTCAGGAAGCAGAGATCTGAAACCAGCCCTGGCAGAAAAGTCTGTGAGAGTCTATCTCCAATGAACCACCAAAAAGCCACAAGTGGAGATGTAGCTCAAATGATAGAGCACTAGCTTTGAAAAAACAAAACAAAACTCAGAGACAGCGCCCAGGCCCTGAGTTCAAGGCACATAAAAACACACAAACAAAAAGCCAGAGCGCTGGGATCCAAGAAGAGAGGATTCATGGCTTTGGATGTTTGCTTTGCTCAAGGATTAGTCCATATTCAAACTGCCCCCACAACACAGACAAAGACAGAATTCTGTCAGCAAGGGTGAGGCTGTAGGGAAAGCAGCAACTTGAGTGGAGAGTTCTTTCAACACCGCTTCTGAAGAGGAGAGGGAAAGGTCTGGAAAGGTCAATCAATTGAGAGTGAAAGGTTCAGACTCTTTACTCCCACTTCCTGTGATGGGGGGAGGACAGGAAATGTTTGCCCCCTTCTTCCCATTTCTTTCTTTATCCTAACTTACTTAAAAATAAAACTTTGCTAAAAAGTTAAAAGTGAATGCATGCGTACTGCTAGCGTGCTAGGCTATGGAAACACTCAGCCAAGTGTGCAAGTGTGTGTCCAGACACAAGTGTGCAAGTGTTGTATATATTCCCAACAGCGCTGTGTTAAGAGGAGAAGGAAGGAGCAACCTTACTATTAAAACAGCCCCTCTACATTGTGACAGCTCTTAAAAACAAAACAAGGTATCTTCCCAACATACACACATAAACCTTATGGGTATCTTGTCTTGTGTTTTTGTTTGTCTGTCTGTCCTGGGCCTCTTTTTGCTCAAGGCTAACTCTCTACCACTTGAGCTACCGCTCTACTTCTGGCTCTTTCTGAAGTTTATTGGAGAGAAGAGTCTCAGGGGCTTTCCTGCCCCAGGCTGGCTTTGAACCGGGATCCTCAGATCTCAGCCTCCTGAGTGGCTAAGATGACAGGCGTGAGCCACCGGCGCCTGGCTAGTGCATTTTTAAAATTAAAAACCCATTCTAATAAAGTTTTGTTCTGTTCTCCTTATAGTATTATTGGCTGGTACATAATCCACAATCAAATGCTTCTTAGTGGGTGAATGGACAGGTGGGTTTGGAAATCAACTACAAAGGAGATGCCCAGGTTGGAAGAGACACCAAGGCTGGGAAAGGGAGCTGGGATCGAAGCCAGAGACTCATGGAAGGCGGCTGGTTTTCCAGAGGTGGGTGAGATAGGCAGCCACAAACCCGTTCTGTTGAGCCGGGATCCCTGCGCAGGAGTGACCATGAGTGCATGTGCAGACACTCTCCCCTCCCCCCTCCCCAGCCTGCAGCAGCACCCATCCCACGGCTGCCAACGTTTTGCAGGAGGATGAACTACCAGGCCTTGAGCAGGGGAGGGGGAGGCGGGAGGAGATGTTTTACTGATATTTCCCCCACCGACCAGTTCCATCGTACACACGTTACAAAAGCCAAACATCACTGGAGTGGACATTTTGATTTTTCCTTGTTGGCTCGACTCGTCTGACTGGTTCCGCTTCCCTGCTCGGCCGGCCGGCCGTGACAGCCAGGTGCTGGCTCGGCGCAGTGACCTTCTCAGCACTTAGCAAAGGCCACATGGTTATTATTTTTTCCTTTTTCCCTCATTTAGACTTCATGCTTGAGGAAGAAGCAAATAAACTCCCAAATAGCCTTCAGGGTACCTGAAGTCACTCATTCCCCAAAAGCTCTTCCCAGCAGGCTGATCTCCCTCCGCTCCTGGACCTGGATTCTCCCGAGATTCCTGCGGGAGATACTCAGGGGGCCTTCATTTCGTGACCACCCCAAGTCTCTGGGCCAGGAAGAGGCAGACAAGAGCTCTAACGCCCTTGCTCTCACCCGGTATGCACAGCTGCCTCTCAAATGTCTACTGGCCGGGCCGGCGACAGGCAGCCCACAGGCCAAGTCCAGCCTGCACCTGTTTTTGGTAAATACAATTTTATTTGGAATCGCAGCTCCATGCATGGGCTGCTTTCCCTCTGTCACCACGGAGTTGATCTCTCACCCCAACAGGCTACAATATTCACTCTCTGGCCCTTGATAGGAAAAAGTCTGTCCACTTCTGCTCTGTAAAAACCGAAGCAGCGCCAGGCGCCGGTGGCTCACGCCTGTCATCCTAGCTACTCAGGAGGCTGAGATGTGAGGATCTCGGTTCAAGGCCAGCCCAGGCAGGAGAGTCCATGAGACTCTTCTCTCCAATGAACCACTAGAAAGCCGGAAGTGGTGCTGTGGCTCAAGCAGTGGAGAGCCCACCTTGAGCTGAAGAGTGCAGGGACAGAGTTCAAGCCCCACGACTGACCAAAAAAAAAAAACCTAAGCAGAGACACCGCCCAGGCCTGGGCGGTGTCTAGTCTACTCAGTGACAGTATTTTCAAGGGATCATTTTCTGCCCAGAAGGCATACTTGGGGCTGCGCTCTCAACAGAGATGGCATCACTTCCTCACAGGTTGGCTGGGCTGTACCAATCCACAGGTGCCACAGAAAGCTGGAAGGGAGGATTCTGTGGTTTCTGGCCCATCACACTTGAGACGGAAGCACAAGACTTGGCCCGAAACCATCAGACAGTGTCTGTCCTCCTCCTCCATCTTCACCTGCTTAGGGGAGGTGGGGGCGGGGGACGGGACGTGGGGGCTCCCCTGGGCACTCACTGCAGCTTCCAGAACACATTCTGAGAATCAGGACACTTTTAACAGCTGAACACAATGACTGCCAGGAAGATGAAACCTGCGTTCCCTGCGGAGGGTGGAGTTTAAGGGGAGGGGTGACTGGATGGAGAGCGGAAGGGTGGGCAAATTCAGTCACAGTGTGAGTGCCTGTTTGAAGTGGAAGTTGGGAGAGGCGGGGTGGGAAGGAGCATGGCAGAAAGGTAGCACTGATCGCCATGCTTGGCATGCAAAAGCTGATACAGAGTTGAAAATCCTTTGTACAACTACTTTTAAAAAAAAATATTAGAGAGACTAGGTATCACTATTCCACAATACTGTGAAATATGTGGAATTTATGTAATCACCTAATAAGAAAAGAAAGTGAGAGAAGGGGTGGGTGAGGAGCGATGGGTGACAATGATGTCAGACACTTTGTATTCATACACTGTTTTGTAGAATGGGAACTTCCTTGTACAACCACTTAAAGATAATTTTTTTAAAAAATAAAGAAAATAAAGTTTAATTCCATTTTTTAAAAAAATAGCTGGGTGCCAGTGGCTCGTGCCTGTCATCCTAGCGACTCAGGAGGCTGAGATCTGAGGATCACAGTTCAAAGCCAGCCTGGGCAGGAAAGTCCACGAGACTCTTATCTCTATTAACTATCAGAAAACCAGAAGTGACACTGTGGCCCAAGTAGTAAAGCGCTCACCTTGAGCTGAAGAGCTGAGGGACAGCGCCCAGGCCCAGAGTTCAAGCCCCACACTAACCAAAAAATACCAAAAAGTTAAAGAGAGTAAACAATGAGGGTTTTTTGTTTTGCTTGTGTTAGTTGTGGGGCCTGGGCACTGTCCCTGAGTTCTTCAGCTCAAAACAAGTGCTATACCACTTAAGCCACAGCGCCACTGCGAGTTTTCTGGTGGTTCACTGGAGGTCAGTCTCAGGGACTTTCTTGCCCAGGCTGGCTTTGAACCTCGATCCTCAGATCTCAGCCTCCTGAATAGCTAGGATGACGCGCGTGAGCTTCCAGCGCCCGGTTTTTTATTTTTTAAGATGAGAAAGCAAGAGTTTACAAAGCAGGGTGCTGACTTGGCGAAGGGAGAGATTCGATAAAGGGCAACTCTCATACACAGAGATGCTAGTGTGGCTGGGCATCTAGAGAGAACCAAGCGCCCGCCCACTGGTACTATTTATTCCCTGCGAGCGGAGGGGGGCTAACTTCATCGATAGCATTTGACGCACGTGATCTCACTGGATCCACAAAGCAAACCTGTGTGGAGGAGGAACCACTGCACACACTTACTTAATGAGGAAACAGCCTGAGAGGAGCAACAGCGCCCCAAGTTCACACAGCCAGGAGATCACCGACAGGGGACAGGAACTCCCCGCTAACCCTGCAGCCCCAAGCTGGTCGGCCACACAAGAGGGCATGTCCATGGTGCACACACTGGCTGGATGCCTTGGGCAGACTGTTGAGTTGGGAGGCCAAGTTCTGAAAGGCGGGGTGGGAAGCGCAGTCTCCCATGCGCGCCTGGATGTCACCCTGCGAGTCTGTCTCCTTCCCACAGATGGAAGGGGACGCGCTCGCCAAGCCTGCCGCCGTGCTCTGCCATCGGGAGGACGGCCCTCCCAGTCCGCCGTGGG